CGATAATGGTCAATTTTCGCCTAAATGGCAGCCGTGCCTTCGTTGCCCGTGCAAATTTTTGTAAATAATGAAATCCCTTGGTGCGAAAATGGTAGTAGAAAAGTACGCAAAGTAGGCACTTAGTAGCGAAATTTCTTTGTAAATTTTAATGTATTTGCAAGAAATTTGGCATTTTAAACGAAATATTGAAAGAAATATTAAGATATCTACGTGAGTTACGTAATTTATGTGCTATTTAGCGGTAAAAAAGACTGCACAAGTGATCATAATTAAAATAAAAACCACGAATTTGAAAATAATTTATGTTTTCATCAATTAGATATGCTTTATATGCATATACAAATAGTAAAATAGTATGATTCTATTTTACTGTAGGTACACTTATTCAAGTAAACTTGCAAAGAAGCAACACGGTGCCACTGCAATGGGAGCGGTGCGAGAGAGACAACTTTCAGTCACCTGTGTGTGTGCGATAGCCAACGAAATTGCACAACCAAATGAAATGTCACAATAGTGAGCACGTGGAAAACTTCGGTGCTCTTAGACTGCGTTTATACACGGAAACTTTTGTCGACGCGATTTTTCACATTCCCTTCTGGTGTTGCTCATTTCATTTACACACGACGATTTTTGTGTATGCAATTGTTGTTGTCAGCTGTGAACCGCTAAGTCAATTTACACAAACGAACGAGAGCACAAAGCGTGTTGCCCGAGCACGCGCAACTCGGTGGCCTCTCCCCGTCACGCTCTTTCCAACAAACGCCGAGTTGCGGCAACAAAGATCGCCGTGTGTAAATGAGCACTTAGAGTGCTGCTAAAATTGTTCAGCTGTGTTTCATTATTCTTACACCTACACAGTGAAAATTTTACCATTTATTCGTATACAAATAGGCCCTGAGCCAATTGATAGAAAATAGAAAATTTTGCCGGATCAAAGTAAAAATTTGACACTTCGTGGTGAATACGAACGTCAAAATTTTTCCTAGCTCATGGGGATAGGTAAAATTTTGACAGCTTATAACCATGTATACACATTATAAAATAAATATAAATTTTAAGAATTTCAGCAACACACAAAAATAGAGCTTTCGCACGAGCGTTTGTTTGGTTTTTCAACTGTCAAAATTTTACTTTGCATTTGGCACAGCAAAATTCAATTTATTTGTACACCATAGCAAATTTTTACACCCCGTCTCACCACGGAGAAAAAAGTTACCGATTGGCACAGGCCCTTACTAACGTATTACGGTTTTCGCCGCGATGTAAAGAACCAAGGTGGCGCATTGAGTGGACCGCTACTTTGATTTTTACAATTTTCAAGTTAAAGTAAACTACGCCTCAGAAAGTAAACGAAACTTTCAGTAAGTGGTTGTCGACCTAAAACTTGTGTTTTCGTCAATGTAAGATCTGCCAAACGAAAACAAGTTTTCGCTGAAAACCACTTGAAAACTCACGTTCCACTCATTCCAATCGGTGCCTGCACTACTTCTTCTTCGATTATTTATCGAAGTGGAAGTCATATGTATCATCTTTAATACGCCATTATTTATTTATTTATTGTTAATTGGCTGATCAAAATAAAATAAGCATGGAAGTAAAAGGTTGTCAATGAAAAGAAATTGAAGGAAAAGTATTTTCGTTTTGTATTTGTGCAGCAAAACTGTAAACAATGAATGTAAGAAATTACAACGAAAACACCAACAGTCGGTGTGAACAGCCAACAGCCCACAATCCCAAAACTCGTTTTCAAGGTGTTTTCGTTGTCGGTCAGAACATTGTATAACTGTACAAAAACTCACTGGGCCTCCGCACACTGGACTGCTCAGTCCGCCTAAAACCGGTTTTGTGTGGACAAGAGGGGGAAGAGAGTTCGAGTTTACCTCGCTCTTTTCAGTCCGCGAAAATCGCGGATTGACGGTGGACTGACACGCACACATAGACAACATATTTTCGATTTCGTTTTGTTGGCATCAGCGTTGCCATTTTAGCCGTTTTCCGGCTAGATTTAGCCGGTT